CAGTGGCCAGTTGCTGTCACTCTTACATCAAATCAAAACTATTTCAAAACGCTCTCGATTCAACAGTTTTGATTAAGTTCATGTAGTGTCCATAATTCCTGGCTTGCAGTTATCATGTCACTTAAAACACCAATTTGTAAAGTCAGGAGTCAGGGGCCCTGGCTGATCATGATCATGGGGTCAAATAATCCGCACAACATCCTTGTGGCTTGTCACTCTGGCGCCTTCGGCAAACCATTGAAGAAAGATAGTGTGTTGCCTCCTGGAGAGAGGACGAATTAAGGCAATATCGGCCAGTGGCCAGTTACTGTCACTTTTGGCTAGAATCATTTATTGGTGCTACCGCCTACCGCCGCTGCAGTTTCAGGCGTCATGGATATCACAACCCATGCCATACACATCCACATCTGTCACTTGGATGAGATTGCCGCTTTGCATTATACATTTGAATTTCTGCTTCAAAAGGTGACATGATGCACTAATGATCAATAACGATGTGCAAGTACAGAACGCATCAACACTGGTGTGTGTGTGTGTGTGACTCCCGCCCCGGGCCCTAAGATTATTTTGTCGACCTGCAGCGCTTGCAGTCTGCAAAGCATAAGCGGTTATACGCAGACGTGCGCACATAAGGTTGTACAGCGCATCGCCGTAAGGGACGCGGAGCAGCGGAGGACAGGAGGGGCGTGAGAGGAGACGGCACAACGCGACATCGTGTGTACAAAGCTGCGCATTCTCAGCAAATAAAGACACGATTGGTTTGTTTGAGGTGTGCAAGATAATGCCTTATCCGCTGCGCAGAAAAGTGCATAATGTTTCTCAATGTCAGATAGTCAGATTCAGATCATCAAATTTCAAAATTCCAGGCACCACCACCACCACCATGCAAACAAGGGCTCTTCGAAGCGTTCCGCAAGGTCAGCGAGAACTTGAAGGCTTTGAACAAGGATGCAAAGTCATACATCCGCACCCGGGCTGTTGCACCACAGGCCGTCCTTGGACAAACACCCATGGCCAAACTCATAAATCTCATATATCTCATCACATCCATCAATCTCATCTATCTTTCTATCTCATCACATCACATCACATCACATCTTTCTCATCATTCTCATTGGTTCTCATCATTCTTATTCTCATTATCGTTTAACTCTTTTTTCTCATCTATCTAGAATCTATCCCATTGCATTTTCTCATCGGTCTCGATTCTTATCTTCTAGCTCATCGTTCTCATCTACCTCATCTATCATATATCTCCTTCAGTGCATCTATCTCATCTATCCCCTCATCTTTCCCATCTTTCTCATCTATCTCATCTATCTCATCACATCTTTCTTATCTTTTTCTTGCCTGAATCCCATTGTCCTCATCTATCTTATCTCCTCATCTATCTCTTTCCCATCGATCTCAATCCTCGTCCTCGTCCCCATTCATCATATACATCTTTTTTTCAAATATCACATCACATGACTCACATGACGTGTATCTCATGATCTATCTAATCTCGTCGTCGGTTTGTCATTGTCGATCAAAGTCAAAAGCCTAGTCTAGTCTTGAATCAAAAGCAGATAGAAACTCTGACAGAACTTCACAGAAGTCACAGAACCCCCCAAAAATAATCAGTCTCAGTCTCTGTCACTGTGTCTCTGTCACTGTCTCTGAGTCTCTGAGTCTCTGAGTCTCTAAATCTTTGAGGAAAAAGCAGGCTGTGTGATGTGTGATGATCAGTGTGATGTGATCATCTCTGCGTTTTTTTTTGTGAAAGAAAATGGTTGGACAGTTTCAGCCACAAGCCAAGCTTGAGGTCAAAGATCTTGAAACTTGAAACATTGAAACAAATAGGACAGAAGTCTGAGCCCCAATCTGAGATGCATTTGTGATTCATCACTCATCAAGTGGGCCACTAACAGAACAAATTTGACATTCGCTTTTGGGGTTTGGTGGTATTTGGGAGGTCCAAGTCCAAAGAGCCTTAGAGAGCCTTAGCCCTATGCCCTTCCTCTGGGACCTGGGACAATGACTTGATGAATTGCGGAGGAACGCTTACAAGAAAAATAATGGGAAATAAAATGAGATCTTCAGCTTCGAACTTCGGTCTGTTTGAAGAATGCGGCCAGAAACACTGGGTGACTAAATGCCCGGCAATTTTTGGCAAATGGATTCCTGCAGCAAAACTGATAAAGCACGGTAACCCTGGTCGGGGCTCCAGGCCCTAACTGTAGCCTTGTACTTGTACGTATATATCATTGATCATTGAACCATTGCTATCATAGCATTGCTATCAATGCTATCTGCTTATGGCTCATTTAAAGTCCCAAAACATCACTGGCCACTGGCCCATAACCACCATAACCTTCCATGAATCTGCCACCAAGGATCAACTGGCTGCCTTTGCCAGCCAAAGTATCCAGGCCGACGATCGCATTTGCATACGCAGCCACCTGTGCAGCGCACTCAGATTCATGACTCATCACTCATCACTCATCACCAGCTCTCTTGACGAAACACTCAAGGGAATGGTTGAATTGAATGGTATGATAATAAATCTGGTTGGTGGGTCGTTTCATCCCATCTCAACAGTATTATAGTTAAATGGGAATGGGATGATCATCATCGCCAATAACTGGTGGAAAAAAACCAAACCACAAGCCGTCACAAGCCAGTATACATGTTTCATTATGGGTAGCCCTCTAGTTCCCACACCTACGCACCAGTAAAGCTTTGTGTGAAATTAGGGAGCATCACATCATCCCATGCTTGAAAACAGATGCTCAAACCACCTAGACATGGCTGGTCTGAAAGTTCTCAATTTCTCAACCCCGAAATAGCCGTGTGTCCAAATAGGGACCCTGATGACTTGAACATCTTGACCGCTTGACCATATCAAAGTATCTGAGAATCTGATGCGGAACTGCCAAAACCCGCCTCTGCAGTGCTTCCATGTGTCGTAACCAAAGAATAAACCTTTTCCAGCTCTTTCCGCACCGACAAAATATCCATGAGCGACAAGCGAGGGAACGCTTCAGCAGTGACACAACATATAGGGTAAAAACTGGGTATATAAGGGTATTGTGGGCCAACCATGTAGACATATGGTCATGGTGAGCGAGCGAGGTGGTTACTGCTAAGAAGGCTCTGAACTGTGTGAACCTCATTGGGAATGTTGAAGCTGATTTGAAAATTTGAAAACGCCAAAAAACAGTCAGTTGCTTGGAATAGTCAATAGAACTTTGTGTTCTGATTGCACTATAGAATCCTGGTAAAATTCTAGGGTCTAAGTTCGGTCTAAGATTCATCGTTGCTCCCTCAGACTGAGACTGACTCATAGCCACATTCTATGAATCAGACTGTATTCATCGTTTGGGAAAAACATGCCGGTACTTTGGTGCTTTTTGAAGTTGCGCAACTTACAACTTGGTTTATAAGTTGCCCAAGTGGGGTTATATCTACCCCAAATGAGTTTATAATGTGGCTAAGTTTGAGCCTTCTCAGTTACAAGTCACAGCTCAATTGTAAATAGTTAGTTCAGACTTAGGCCAGTTAGTAACTGGCCCAAAGACCACGTGGCTAAGTGTTTATAAGTGGAGTTAGCTAAGTCCCCTAAGTGGTCGTGCTTTCCCGTGGGTTGTGCAAAAGTATCTTTGGATGTGATGTGTTCTGTTTTTGAAGCAGGTGCGTAGCCAAGCCTGTAAGAGTTCACATTGTGAATTGCGCAGGCGTGTCTGCAGGAATTCACATGTGCTTTTCTTGCATGCTTTCTCTTTGCAGATTCACCAAAAACACAGCCGCAAAAAAGAACAGCAAGGGGTTTTAGATTGTTTGAAGGACATGCAGCACACACAGATTGAAACATTTGAAGATCGACATCAAAACCAACGCCGTTGTTTTCATGCTGCTTTTTTGCCAAAGGCATGGCGTCAAAAAAAATATCTTCAGGATGTTTGGTTTCGCACTTTTTCATTTTCACACAAATCCACCCATTTTTCCATCACGTAAAGTTCGCAAAAGCAAAACAAATCATGACAATTCAATCCAAAACTCTTCACCACGGATAGCTCCAATCAATTCTTTATAGTTCCGATTTTTTCAAAAAATGCCAGCCTTTGGCGGTTGAATTTTGGAAAAATGCACTTCGGTGGCCGTATCGGGGACGTATCGGGGACGTATCGGGGCCGTATCGGGGCCGTATCGAGGCCGTATCGGGGCCGTATCGGGGCCGTATCGGGGCCGTATCGGGGCCGTATCGGGGCCATATCGGGGCCATATCGGGGCCGTATCGGGACCGTATCGGGGCCGTATCGGGGCCAAAACCTTTAGAAACATGCGTTGCAGGAAAAAAACATGTATCGCAGGAAAAAAACGCATTGGATCTTGACCAGTTTTTCCGTAGTTGCACCGTTTTGAATATAGTTCCGCAGTTTTTCTTTCGAACAATAATTTCGCATGAGGTTGCGTGATTCATGGTGCTACTGCTGCATGGTTGTTTGACGGTTGTACGCATCTTTTCATTCTTGCCTATTCCTATCAAATCCTGCCGGCGCCAGAACCTGACATGTTCTGAGTTGGCGGATTTGTTTTGTGTCTTCTTTCTTGACTTAGTTGTGCATGTTAATTTTGCGGGTAAACGCTTGTGTTTCAGCAGCTGAATTCCCCGGATTTGTGCAATACCTGTTTTGGTTTTTGTGGTACAAGTCCTTCGCGCAGGTCAACACTTGTACTTGAGCACCTGAATTTCCTGCCTACCTAAAACCGTGGTTTGTACAACGCCTCGTGGATTTTTTTTGGGTCCCTCGTGTGCATTTTCCTGGCCACGAGGATTTGCTGAGTTAAGTGGTTATAAGTCCTGCTAAGTGGTTAGCTGCGAGGATTCCGCTAAGTGACTGTAAATGGTTGTAACCTTTGTTATTGCTTTGAGAAGGTCTCCTCTGTTTCCGTTGGTCTCCTCTGTTTCCGTTTCCCTCGCACCTTGCAAAGTTTCCGTTTCCCTCGCACCTTGCAACTTTTCCTTCTCGGGGTTGTGCTCGGCTTGAGTTAGAAAAAGCAGCTACAGAAAATCGGCAAATGTGAAATCTGCAGCAAGTCAAAATGCCTGACAGGTATGGTCAAAATGGAATGCATTCTGCACTCCTCCCTTGGGATATCGTGAGGTCATCCCAAGATTCAGGCTCAAGCTGCTTCTATCGTGCAAATAAAAGGAAAAAGATCTAACCTGCGCTCTCACCACATCCTTGGCATGCTGGAAACATCTTTTCTGGATCGCAGCGTGGGCATCTTGAATCCACATGATAATCTCCACCCCAGTGATCCATCCAAAGTGGAACTCCTGGTGGTGGGGGTCCACGCGTTTGAGCGGTAATGGCCCAGCAAATGCGACACCAGGCAGATTCTCGATTGGCTCCTGTCTGGACAGACGACAGGTACCTGCACTGGCTCTGATAGTGATAAACTCGGCCATACCGAGTGGTCAAAACTTGGAAAGCTGCTCTAGCTCTTTCCTCGCTGTTCTCATAGTTCTGGAATCTTTCTGGATTTCTCTGTGCTTCCTCGTAGAGGTTGGTTTCTTCATCTGCTATCTCCTGCATGACTCGATCCAAGTCGAACCCAGGGATGTGGCGCTCATCTAATGGACGATACGGAGTGTCCTCTGATGAAGAGGTTGAATCTTCAAGTGGCGAAGAAGACCCTTCGCCTGGTGGGAGGTACGTGGGTCGCTGTGACAGTTGTCCTGCCACAGCGGCCATCCCTTCACCACCATTTTCCTTTTCTTCTTCTTCTCTTTGAGCAGCAGCACCTGCAGGGAGACTTCGGGAAGACGATCCAGCTTGGTTTGACCAAGACATTTCCAGCCTCCTTACTCCTACCTTCCACAAATGCTGGCTCACGATCGTGAGAAGCACGATGATCAACGCAAAAACGACCATCATGACTTTGAGCTCGAGGGTTGAATTTTCCTGATCTTCTTTTTCTGTTTCTTCATATTCTCCTTTGGCAGCTGAGATCGCAGCAGCCAATGTGAGCAGCTTCAATGCTGCTGCTGCTTTCTGAATGCCTACGCCTTCTCCTTTTTCTTCAAAAACCTTCTCTTCTTTCTTCTCATGCTCTTTCGGTTGTGGTACTTGAACCAGGTTCATCTCCTTCTTCAAGTACCTGATTCTTTCTGAAGCTAATGGCTTGGTGCCAATGTCAGCGATCATTTGATTTCCCGCGACATGTTGAAGAAACCAGGTGCCCTGCAAGATTGAACTCCTGGCAGCTGATGCTCTCAGTCGCAAATGACGTGTGCGCCATGATCCTCCGTCAGTGGTCAAAATTGATTGGGCAGACTGAGAGTCTGTCCAAGATTTTCGCTGCAGAGGGCCAAACAGCTCATCAGCTATGGCACCAATTGATTCTCCAGCCACCATGCTCTCCACAATCTCCATCATCTCCGCTTCTGCTGTGCTGAGCGTCACAAAACTTTGACGACCACTTCGCCAAAAAACAGGGCAAGAAGCTACCATGATGATGAAGGCTCCGTGGCTGACATCTCCTTCAGGTGCAAAACTGGCGTCTGACATGGCCTCAATCATCAAGGTCTCTGCTCCAGCAGCATCAAAGCAGATGCCTTCATCCATAGTGCTTTTGAGATACCCCTTGATCTGCTGGTAGATCTGGAGGACCTTCTGAGGGGCCTTCGTGACGTAAGAGCCCATCTTTGAAACGGCATACATGAGGTCCAAGCGGGTGCGTGTCACCAGCCAGAGCATCTCACCGGTGGCTTTCTGAGCTGAACGAATCAGCTCTGGTGTTCTTCCTTCTTCCTCTGGAAGTTGACTCTGATCTTTTGTGATTGGGATCTTTCTGTCTGGAGCTTCTTGATCTTGCGCAAGAAGGTCCTTGATGTAGGACTGTTGGTTGACATACCAAACGTCGCGATTCTTGGTGACATCAAAGGTCTTTGAGATCTCGATGCCTAGGAATCGTATAGGCTTTTCTCCTACTTGATCTGGTTCTGAGGTGGTCCAGATAGTTCTGATCTTTTCCATGACGGCATCTACCACCTTTCGACTTCCAGTGACCAAGATGTCATCGACATATGTCATCAAGAGCCCTTTCAATGGCAGCGGAGCAAAGTTCGACTGAGTGTCAGACTCAGCTTCACTCTCCTCAGCTTCAATCCTCCACAAGTTTGGCTCTGATGCCAGAGGGCAGAGTCGGAGTGATGTCATCCGACCTTCTTCCTCCTCCACTTCCAGTTTCATGACTTCCAATTCATCATCTCTGCAATCACCCCAGAGCTTTGGTGATCGGCGAAGTCCATAGACCGCGCGCTTGGGCATGTAGTATGTTCCTGGCTTCATGTACTTCTTTTCCAAAAGCAGCATAGGAGGTTTGACCAGCAACAAGCTTGGCTGGTCTTCAGGGCACATGGTGGCATTCAGGAAGGCTGTTTTGATGTCAATGGTCCCAGCCTCCCATTGGAATTTTGATGCCGCAACGATCAGAAGGCGCAGTGCAGAGGCATCTGCACCAGAGCTAAACGTGTTCTCTCCCTCTTTGACCTGCTCGAAGTTTCCACAGATGACCCATCGAATCTTGTTGCGGCCACCTCTTTTTCCTGGCTTCTTTGTGCAGACCAACTTTGATGGGAGAAACTCCACTGGTATGCCCCTTTTTTCTGCATCCTTCAAGAGCTCCTCCAACCTTTCTCCACTTACCTCCTCGAAGGCTTCCTTCTCTTCTAACAGTGACGTGACTTCAGCATCCACTGCCGGAAGCCAATCATTCCAGTTCTTTGAGACCTCAAGAAGGGAGATGATTTTCGTTTGGAGGACTTCATCATCTTCGCCCTTCTCTTGAGAGTCAAGCATCTTTTTGAGCTTGGCCAAGATGTCAATCTCTTCTGTGATCATTTCAGGAGAATCATCCAACATCGCCTTAGTCTCCTCCTCGACCATTCTTGTAAACCTGTTCCTCATCTTTGCCAATCTCACGGCCTCATCCTCACCTTCTTCTTTCTCCTCCATTTTCAACCTACGCACTGTAGTCTTTTCTCGAAGCCTTCGTCTTTTTGTGAGAGCATCCAAGACCTCCCTTTCGATGGCTAGCCACACTCCTTCTTCAGGTCGTTCTATGGCTTTCTGCATGTAGCATCGAGTGACTCTTGGTGCTTCATCGTTCACCTTGATCCAATGGCCATTGTCCTCGGGTGCAGATCCGAGGTATCTTGCAACTTCCACCATAGGCTCAAACGCCTGTTTCTTCCACCTCCTCCTCCTCACCAAGACTTCTTGAAGAAAGCGGGGGAACTCTGGCTTCTTATCCAGCCTTTGGCACCTGTAGATCTCGTTCAGGTATCGAAGTGCCCAAGGCCACCATGAAGAGTCTACTCCTGCATGAAGTAGAATCCTTCTCAGCTGGTTTTTCACTGACTTGACCGTAACCTCAGCACGGCCGTTGGCCTTTGGATCATCGCCCGATGTTCTTGTCAAAAGAATGCCTCGAGACCTCATCCATGTTTCAAATGACCCAAGGAATTCGTGGCCTCTATCGCTGTGGATACGATTCACATGATATCCATCAATCTTCAGTTTGAGAACCATCTCCATCGCTACTCTTGTGACTTCCCTCGCCTTCTTTGACCTCAGAGGGAGCGCCATCTTGAAGACTCTGATTTCATAGTCTTTATCTTCGCTTTGAGGACCATCTTCTGCTTCTTGTTGACCATCTTGATCTTCATCTCCTCTTTCTTTCTCTTCTTCTCCTCCTGAATCTTCAAGACGGGACTCCTCAGGAAGTTCTGCACCTCTTGGCAAGAGGCCATCAGGAGGCTGTTCATCAGCTTCCTGATCATCACCTTCAGGCTCCTCGGCAAAAAGATCAAGCACTGGTGCCTCTTCAAGACCACCTTCTTCTTCGGGTTGACCTATCATCTTTTCTGTGCCCTTTGGAACCATGTATGTGTAAGCACCAGCCAAAAAATATCGACACTTCCAGCCACCAACATCGCTTGATGGTAAAAGAGGCCCACATGTGTCAAGAGCAAGAACTCCTGTTTGTGGATGTTTGTTTCGTCGATGAGGAAGATCTGTTGGGAGGATTGCAGGCAAACAGGACAGTCACGGCGATATGGAACATGACCAAAAGCAACATGCTCTTCATAGGTGAGAGCCCTGAGTTGCGGTGTCCCCTTGAACACCTGAGTTATGACCGCTTCGCTGACAGCGTTCATCAGTCCAGGTGCCCATCTTTCCAACTGTTTTGAGCTTTCCACAGGTTGCGCAGGTAGAAGAGGACCCATCTTGTGATCCTCCAAGCACAAATCAAACGTAGTGCCCAAAGTGGTGGGTTTTGTTGCCATACCTCCAAGACATCCCTGATTGAAAGTGACCTCCTTCAACTGAAACTCCTTTCTCAAATCATGCCACTCAGTGGTGTCCCAAAACGACACAGCTGCAGGTTGATAAGTCTTTGGAGATGCAGGTTGTTCCAACGCAAAGTGAACAGGATCTGGTCGCAACTGTGCCTTGCGGACATACTCTGAAATCATGTACAAGAAAATCATTCGCCAAAGAAGAGTGTCATCTTCTTGAATCATCTTTTCTTCTTTCTTGTTGATCCAGTGTGCTCCAAATTCCCCTCCCTCCCAGCAACGCACTGGACGGGGGGCCCATGGTTGGCCTTCAATTGGTCGATGTCGGAGCACACTTCGACTTCTGCAGTTCGGGCCACCCAAGACAGCCAGAATCTTTCCTGAAAGCGCAGCTCGCAAGAGAGTGGCATAGATCCCTTCGTCAGCAAGCATGTCATACGCTTGCCCCTTCTTTACATCCACTTCCAAAAGCCTCCTTGTCTTACTGCCTTGACACCTCATAGATCGCTGAAGTGTGTGACCTGAGTCCTCTCCAGAGTACAAGTGCAGTGCAAATCCCTCAGTTTTCAACGTTCGTCGCTGACGTCGATTCAAAGGCAAAGATTCCCATTCTCCCGGCTGGACCACAAGCTTCTTTTGGAGCCAGTCAGGAAGACGAGACAAAACTGGGTGAGCTTGTAGAAGCCTTCTCATCCATCCAAGCTCTTCTTCTATGTCTAGGCGATTCAATGAGACGCCTTTGTTGCAGTCTTCGATCTCAGAGATTAGCTCCAATGCCAACTTCCTTGGAATCTGTGGACAACCTCCACAGTCTTCAACTGGTAAAAGACCTCGGATTGGATGTTGGACTTGAAGAGCTCCCTTCGACCACGACACCACGCAGCCTAGGGCATCGATCAAAGAACCCATAGGCACAATCGGCTCAATGTTCTGGTCTGAGGTGATCATGGAGCCACCTGGGGACATGTGCAACTGAATGGACTTGCCATCTGCCAAAGTGACAGAAACTTCTTTCAACTTGTGGGTGTCCTCTTCTTCTCTTGATGGACGCAACGCATGAGTGGCCCCACTGTCAATGAGACCTCGACCCAGACCAGCGCCAATGCGCCCAAGCTTGAAGACCTTCAGGGAATTGAGCTGAGCCTGAAGGCGTGACAGCATTTCACTTCGGCTGTCTTCATCTCTGTTTGATGCCGAAGAGGAATTGGGAGATGAAGTCGAGTGAGATGTGAGTGATCTGAGCATCTTGTTGGCTTCTTCAATCAGCCCCTTCATCGTCTCAGACTCTTCCTTTGTCTCCTCACCTGTCTTTACTTCACCTGTCTTCACTCCTTCTTCAACTTTTGCGCCCTTCTGCTTCGGAGGCGATCCCTCACCTGTTCCCTTTCGTGGACATGCAGGAGCCAAGTGTTCTTCCGCACCACAGACGTAGCATCGCCTTTTTCCGTCTTTTCAGTGTGAGAGAACTTGCAATCACGGCCCTTTCTGCAGCCTTCTGGAGTCAGGTAGAACTTGCACTTGACAACCTTCTGACGTTCTCCTCTATCTTCTTCTGCTGTCTTCTCTCTACCTTTACCTTTTCCTTTTGCATCCTCCTTCTCATACTCCATCATCTTCACTTTCGGTTCAACCTTGGCGTTGTTGGGGACGGTCTTCTTCTCCATTTGCGACAACTGCTCGCACTCAGAGAGGAGGTGCATTGCAAACTGCGTCACACTCTCCAAGGTCGGCACCGTATCTATGCCTAACCCATGACGTGCAAGCGACACTCGAAATTGTAGTTCTCGATTTGTTTCCAAAACCTTCTTTGTCATCCTCAAAAGCACACGAACAAGAAGAGCAGGATCAGGCGTGATCGCTCCGATTTCGGTGGCCCTCTGACGCCACCTGATCCACTTTCTCAAAGCCATTGGAGCATCTCCCAATGTTTGGACTTCCGCAGGATCCTCAAGGTTTTTCAGGAGGTTCTGTTTTTCGGAGATACCACCTGGACAGTAGATCACATAGAGGTGTGTGATGATGGAGAACACACTCATCCTTCTGGTGGACACAAGCTCTTCACGAACTTGTTCAGGCATCGCTTGAAGCATCATCGTGGACATGCGTCGCTCCAATCGCTGCCGTTTTTCCTGTGTCAAAGAAGGTGGAGTTCCATGTCCATGTTGGAGACGTTCAAGAGGTGACATCTTCATATGAGACTGATACCAACCCTCGGCCTCTTTGAGAAGGGTCTTCCACCAGGTTTCAGCAGTTGCAGTCAAATCTGAAACCACCGGTTCGATGAGCAGCAGCCAATCGCTCAATTGAAGTGGCGATTGATTCGACGACCAAGCAGGCAAAGGAGGTAATTCTTGAGCACCAGATCGAACTACCTCAATCCCTCTGATTGATCCTCCTTCTTCTCGGTCTTCTTGATACTTGCGCTGCAGCTCTTTCATATTTTCCATCATCAGACACATAAACTCAAGTGACTTTTCTGTAAATCCAGCAGCTCCTGTCTCGGCTGATGGACGTTCTCCTCCTGGTTGTTGTGCTTCGCCAGACATTCCTTCAGGGGGTCTAGCGGCCTCCTTTGGTGCACTTGCTGGGGGTCTTGCAGCCTCCTTCTGAACACTTTCTGGGGGTCTTGCAGCCTCCTTCTGAGCGCTTTCTGGGGGTCTTGCAGCCTCCAGAACGCTTTCTGGGGGTCTTGCAGCCTCCTTTGAACCATCACTTCCATTTGGCGTGGAAAAAGACAAATCAACTTCGGGAACAGCAAACCCTGTTTCCAACGCATGAATCCTGTGTTTCAATTCCTCATTCTGATTTATCAATTCCTTCATATATGCCCTCATGGTGGACATCTCATGAGATTCAGCCGACATTCTGGCTTCTTCGGCTTCCAAAAACGAAGGTCTCCTAAAAGCTGGAAAAAAGGACCGGGCTGGTTGATCTCCGTACAACCATGGTGTCCTACTCTGCAGCATGACCATGTCTCTAACTTGCTCTTCGGTGAACAAAGGTGTGTGCATGACATCCGGAGTGGCTGATCCCTGATTTGGAACCCCGGCTGAGTTTTGAAGCGGGGTCATCTCCTCCACTTTCTTGTTCATGTCAACTACTCCAGGTGTCATTGCCATCGCGGTAAGACCAGCAGAAGACTTCTCACTTCGTTCTTTCTGAGGATTCGCGCTCCTAGGCTGAGCAGCGAGAGAGGATGCTGACTCACTTCGTTCTTTCTGAGGATTCGCGCTCCTAGGCTGAGCAGCGAGAGAGGATGCTGACTCACTTCGTTCTTTCTGAGGATTCGCGCTCCTAGGCTGAGCAGCGAGAGAGGATGCTGACCCTGGCTCGGCGGGTGTGATGGCGGCAGGGGAAGTTCGTGGTGGCAAAGGACTGGTCTTACCTTCCTCATCTCTTTCTTTTGTTGGGAGACTTTTTGGGGCACCTTCCAGCTTCACCTTCTCTACTTCCTCTACCTTTCCATCACCTTGAACATCTTCTAAGGGCAGTTCACCTCCTTCATTCGCCTCTTTCTCAAACCTTTCTTGTGCTAACCTCATCTCTTCTTGACCTTGTTGCATCTCTTTCGGAGTCGCTTTTCTTCTCATCTGAACTTGCATGGTTCGCCCTTGGGCTCATAACCTGCTTTGCGCAGGTCTCCTCTGTTTCCGTTTCCCTCGCACCTTGCAAAGTTTCCGTTTCCCTCGCACCTTGCAACTTTTCCGTTTCCCTCGCACCTTGCAACTTTTCCTTCTCGGGGTTGTGCTCGGCTTGAGTTAGAAAAAGCAGCTACAGAAAATCGGCAAATGTGAAATCTGCAGCAAGTCAAAATGCCTGACAGGTATGGTCAAAATGGAATGCATTCTGCAGTTATAAACCTTGTAAACGCAAAAAGCGCCAAAGTAATCGGCAGCAGCGAGTGGACAAGCTTGTTTGCAACGTGTTCCCAATCATCCATCGTTGAAAAACCAACAGCTAGACTCAGCTAGACTCCTGAAATTGCTGCTACGCTCCACAATTTCAGAAGTATCAATATGTTTGAGAACCACTTCCCCCATGACGAGGTCTGCAGCAGGCCAAAAATCTATGTCATGTGAAATGCTTTCACAAGGGCTCACAGGAGGTAGGTATAGGTTACGGTGGAGAAAGAGACCCGGATTATCCAGGGCATACTGCCTTCCCCAGGGCTCCTTTTAGTCGGCTGGGCAGGCTGGACCCCCCATAATTTTGAGCGCATGGATTGTGAGGGTTAAAGCAGGGCCATGTCAATAGCATGGGCCAAGATGACCTTGCAAGAAGAAAAAAAACCGGTTTGTAATGAAAACGGTGGAGGTGACTGGGTTTTGGTATTTCTCCGGACGGCGCCCTAGTCTCGCGAAAAAACAGTTTTAGTTCTTTTTTTTTGGAACTAAAACTTTTTTCCGTCTTGTTTTGAAACCTTAAAAAATTAGAGGTGTTTTTTGTTTTTTTTCGCGTCTGGCGCAGGCACTGTATGTACTATGTACTAGTACTATGTACTGTATTTTTTTTCGGCGCCTTCGGCGCCCTAAATATTTTAGAACGGTCATAGAGGGGGGGGGGCAGGGCGGAACTACTGTTGCAGAACAAAAAAAGAACAAATACAATATGCTAAAGTTAGCAGCGCTACCGCATCAGCCCATTGGGACCAAAGGAAACTTTATTCGGAAATTGAAAGCCAAACAAAAAGATGTAAATCTCCCGAGACACCCTAAACCCTAAAAAACGAAAAAAGGGCAGCGTGATGTTGACATCGTGATGTTGAAGTGGTCTACCACTACTTTTACATCATCTGACAATGACACTGCAACTGCAACTGCAGCTGCAACAACAACAACAACAACAACAACTACAACAACAACAACAACGAACCTGAATCTGAATTCGGAAGAAAAAAACTGAATTTTGGAATCACTGCGTCTCACTGCCCATCTCTCCATTCAGTCATGATTTACATAGATTATTTTTACAATTTACAAAGGTTCAATTCATTGACATATTGCTTCAAGCCTTCAACCTCAAGGCTTCGGGCTTCAATCTTCAAGTGGCTTCAAACACACTTGCTTTTTGGCAGCAAACTCAAACATCTAGGACAACCACACAGTGTGTCCAAAAATCTCTCAAACAAAGAAGAGAGGAGGGACGTGTGGAACCCTAAGATGGCAATCGCTAGACAGAGCAAGGAAAACTTAAAACTTTCAAATACACATGCTTCCAAGTGCGGAAGTTCAACACCCAAATGGAAGTTTCCAGAGCGTGAGCAAACCAGCAAGCAAAGGCAGCGCAAGCACGACGCAGCACCACGCAACACCACACAATGTTTGAGCACACCGCACATTCAGCGCTAACTATTTGCAACCAAAAGCAATGATGTTTGTCGACTTTTGACAATGCTGATTCGCTGGACTAGGTGCAAGAAAGCCACAAAATTGTCAAAAGTGGCAGTTTTTTGTTCAAAAACAAAAAAATCACTTGAGGTTCAAACAAATAAAAGTCAGTCAGTCAGTATATCATGTTCATGGCACCATTTTTTTCCTCACAAGTCATGGTTGTAGTTTGATGCACTTAGATGTTTGTGCTTTGCTTTGTAAGTTTCAGCCAAATTGGCCAGGTTTTTGATACATGTTTGGAATTTCCTCGCGTTTAATCATGTCATTTACATGCCAAAGAAGGAGGAATCAATGGTCGAGTGTCTTTCAGCCAAATTAATTTGATGACATGTTTCACAGAAATGGCACGCAATCCCGAATTTTGTGTGTTTTTCTTGAAAAACCTGGATGTTCCTCGCTGCAAAACACAGAAAAAAAAATCACAAAATTCAATAATTGCCATCATGGTGTTTGGTCGACTGACTCTGTTCAGTGGCATGTGCCATGTTCAGCACAAAAAACTGTATTTTACCGCCATTTTTGGCATTTCCATGAAACTCATCATGCCAGTTTGAAAAAGAAAAAACCACATTGATCATCCTGTTGAATTCAGAGATAGCAAGCACATTCATATGTTATATGATTTTTGCCCAAAAATGCCTCAAATTAGCCTTTTTTAGCTGCAAAATGCTGTTTTCGGCACCAAAACAGCCGAGCTTCGTAGATGACACTGTGTGTTTAACCTGTTGACAAGCTGGCAAAAAAGGGTGCGACCCTTGGGCATTCACCCCTGCAGCTGAAAACCTAATTTTTTTTTTCCCCCTGTTGGCCCTTTTTTCAACCATACCCCCCCTGACCCACGAAATTTGGCAATACCATGGACAATTTTTTCTACCCTCAATGATGCCCTTGAGCAAGAGTTTGCGCCAGAGTTCTGGGATATTGTCAACTACAGCAGGAAAGAGCGTTGGGGCTTCCTGGAGATACCATGGGATGGGAAAGCCTACGAAGTCGCTTCACCGTATACTCAAATTCGTCTATCCATTTTGAATGATTTCGCCCACACCATGAGGGTTGTGAGACCTTTCGTGTGGAAGGACACCTACCTCAAGGTTCATCCGAATGGGGCAGCGGTTTTCGCTGAGCAGAAGAAACTGGCATTCCTGCTTCCTTTAATCGTCGAAGCCCATGCCTTACTCCCGCCTACCCCACTCTTTTGGGCCAATGATGACCAAACCATCCCGTTGCGGAGGACGACCTTGTGGTTGCATGAGCAGACAATACAGTGGTTATCTGAGACAGGAGAGGCGTATCCACCTGAATTGCGAGATGAGATTCAGCCACGTCTGGACAAACTCAAACCTTCCCAGCCCGCCAAGAAGTTGCAGCCGCCGACGCCGCCGAAACCATCCAGATGGCAGGAAAAACCAAAAGAAAAGCAGATCATGCCAACACCACAAGAACCTACTCCACCGGACCCGAAGGAAACCCAGCCATCTCCGCAGCAAGTAGCCGATTCTGAAAGGCAATATATGGAATTGCAAGCAACGTTTGCCCAAATGAGGCAACGAACGATTGCAGAAAGCCGACCAACACATCCCACACAGTCTCAAACATCAGCTAGCTTGTCAGCCACAAGCACACTCGCTAGCCAACCAGCGACCTGCACCACCGTCACCGCCAGTCACACACGAACCAGAAACGGATACCCCGGGTACCGGTGAGTTATCCACTCATTCCCCTCATCCCTCAGCACAAATCGGAACTGATCAACAGCGGCCTCCGAAGCATGAGCAGCCAACTGTCGATAAGGAGACTCCTGCAGAAAGATCTACGCCTGTCGACTCACCAACCGAATCGTCCGACACGCTAGCCACTGACACCGCCGTTGTCAGTAGCCCTACACCTGCCTGTGAACCCGTTCAGGATGCTGATCTTTTTGCTGCGGATATCCCCACACTGCAAAATTGGCAGAGGGTAGCCAGTGAAAATGTTGCAACACTCACCACGCGACTTGCTAGAGCCCGTGATAACCTGTGGCGTATCACGAAACGCCTCAAGACGATGCAAGATGGCCAAGAACCAGACACTCCTCCGGCGTCCGTTCGTAGACATTGAAATGGAA